GAAGGCCCCTCTATGGGGAGAGGCTAAAGGTTAAGGTGACAAAAGGTAATGGATCTGGGGGGAATTGGAACAGCAACACTATCATTGAGGGGAGTAGAACCTTGAACAAGGCAACCAGGCTGCATGAATATAGAAAGATAATAGAGAGAGGATCTTGAAAAGCCAAGGGTGAGCAGGCCTAATGTCTTACATCATTTGGGTGCTATGGCAACCATAGCTCTGTTCTGTAAGTTAGAGAGTAACTAGATGGAGAACATAGAGGCAGTGAGATAGATTTAGAATTACTTTAAGAGATCTGGGGAAGGAAAGTTTCCAACTGTAAACACATCAGTCTGTAATGGATTTTAAAGACTAGGTACTATTTACTTGATCATAGGGAAAAACTGGGTGTTTAATTCCTCTATATTGTACTTGTAGAGAATTTAGAACTCTTTATACTTGATTGCTATTCTTCTTTTGGGGTGGGGACATCTTTAAAAGACTAAATCATACAATGTGAATAGAAAGTGAAGGTTATAAAAACAATTTAATTTAAATCAGGATAGGATATATTTAGCCTCAAAAATCTGTCAGAAAAAAGATCTGAGTAGGGAAAGTATATCACCTCAAAAGCATTGTCAGGATAGGATATAATTGATTGCAATTTAAACAAATATGTTAATCTGTCCAAAGGAAAAAATAGAATATGAGGGGCTATTTCAGACTGGCCTTGGGTGGAGGAAAAGGTGAGTCATGTTGGGTCCTTTAGCCTGGTGTGCACGTCTTTGCTGGTTATCAGTGGTAGGAGTGATGGTAATGGTGGAGGATGGGGGGACACAGCAAAATGATTTGAAATCTTTGTTCCTAAAGTGCTCTTATTTTAGGGATCTTTACATTTGCACTTAAGACCAGCTGATCCCAGATGACAGAAGGTGTGTATTTGTCGGGAATGACTTGGTGTGTGTAATGTTGTGTATTTCAATGAGTAAGTGCTTGCTTACTGGACTTAAAGATCACCTGCCCTGAAAAACAAGTTAAACAGATAAGATTAAAAAGGAGTGTAGTATAAGAAATGTAATTTCTTTAGGGGAAAATGTCAGTCTACAGTTACCACAGTGTTAACAGTATGAGTATCTCCTACTTGACAAGCTATGGTGAGGGATAGCTCCAAGGAATAGCCCCTCACAGATGACTTTCTACTCTATATCTCATCATGTATGGGATGTCTGTGTTCTTTTGAGCCTGAACACTCATGTGTTAAACATTGGGATCTAGAGGGCCCATCTTTTCTCCACATCCCTAACAGTATCCTTTGTTTTCTTCCCACCTGCATTCCATATAAGAAAAAAAGCAAAAAACAACAAACAACAACAACAACAAAAAAAACCAAAACCACTGCAGCATGATTAATAAAAACCCAGAGACAGATATTAGGGTTCAAGCTGAAGATCAGAGAAACAAAGCAGCCAACCACTAGAAAGCTCTCACCTCTACCAAGGCTCAGACCAAAGAGGCGATCCACTGAACCTCAGATTGTATCTCCAGACTGCACTGCTCTACACCAAGCCTCAGAATCCTAGACTGCTATGCTCTCCTTAACGTAGCTGGAGACTAATTGCCCATGAGACCCTTTGCTTCTTCCTTATGTACTTCTCTAGTGCTGGGATTAAAGCGTGAGCTCTGTTAATCTTTTAGACTGATTCATTCTTTCTTGTGTAGCCTTGGGTGACCTACTGCTTCTGTCTCCTGAATCCTGGGATTAAAAGTGTGTACCATCACTGCCCAGCTCCTATAGCTAACTAGTGTGGCTGGCTTTGCATTCTGACCCCTCAGGAAATCTTTATTAAATCATAACTAATATACCACCACAAACCATTTTTGCAACTCTGCCTTATTTTGCTTAGCTAAATAATTCCCTGTAAACAACACGATTCCATCCTTCTCTGTGGCTGGCTAAAACTCCACTGTGCATCTCTACCACATTTTTTATTCAGTCTTCTGTTGATGGGCACCTAGGCCGATGCTATAACTTGTCTATGGTGCTTTGGTTAACCTGAACACATGGGCATATTTAATGTAAGCGACACCTGGTTCACAGGTATGTGTTCAGAAGTAGTATAGCTAGATCATATGGTAGTTCTATATTTGAGAGCCCTCCACACTGATTTCCACACTGGCTGGGATTATTTACATTCCCATCACTCTCCCCACATTCTCACCAGCATCTGTTGTGTGTTTTCCTAGCGACAGTCATTCTGACTAGAGTGAGATGGGCTCTCCAAGGACTTTTAATTTGCTTTCTGCTAGCTGATAAAGATGATATGCATTTTCATGTATTTATTAGCCACAAGTGGAGTTTTCTATATGGAGTATGAACCATTCAAGCCAGAGATAACATGATTCTTTTAGTTCACTTGACCTGGTGGGTGAATGGAATGCTTGTAGTTTACTGGGCCTCCTTTCCCCCTCCTGAGACTGGTATTTCTACCTCGCAGTGAATGTGACTGGGTCAAGAGATGCCCACAGGGTTCTCTGCTCCTGCCCCCTTCCACGGATATGTAAAGGATTGTGTAACACCTCTGGGATCCCCGCTGGCCTGGAGATCCAACCCCTTAGAATGATTCTCCTCATTCCATTTACTATCCAAGTGCTCTCCGATCCACAGTAGTCTCCTCTGCCAATGTTGTGTGTTACAGCATGTACTTAGTTTAGTTTAATTGGTTACTTGAGAAGCAAGAGCTCGATGGGACAGACACCCTTGCACGAGCACAGCTTCCTCATCGATTATAGTCACAGCAATCCTGATCCTAATGCTTACTCCTGCTTCTAGCCAGATTGATGCTTTGTCTACCCCTCCCCCCACCTTCCTGGGGTCAAAGGTGATAGCTAATGTACTTTTAGGAAATTGTCTGTGTGCTTTGCCGCTCTCATGTTGTTGCTGTTTTTCTGAGACCGGACAAGGCTGGCCTGAAATTTATGCTCCTTCTGCCTTGTCTCCCAAGTGCTAGGATTACAGGCCACTCTCATCTGCTTGCTTCATATTTTATGGAAACATTTTGAGCAGTCAGACGTTTGCTACTCCCTGTCTTCCTGTGGTTATTCAATGAGTAAGAGTTAAAGTAAATTTGTTTGCAAAAATTTTACAATTCCTCTCCCCATCTAAGTATCTCTGATTGTTAAAAAAAATAGGTGAAGTAACCACTCTTGTCTAATATAGAGCATGTGGCTTGCTTCAAGATTCCTGGAGATGCCAGCAATGATGAGTCTATATCACTAGGGGATCTTATGGTGTATAGACCCATCAGGTTGACAGATACAACCATGGTGTCTTAGCCAAACAGGAACTCACTTGTTCCTAGGTAGCAGGAAGTCTAAATACAGATATTTCAGAACTCTACAAACTATCACAACTGATTCTGGTTCCCTGAATTGCCCCCTTATTGTGTGTCTCTCTGCAAAGAAATTGCAGAGGAACAAGCAAAAGGATGCTGAGCCCATCTGCACCCACTTTAAACCAAAATATCTTACCTGAAGGTCCTACCAATAAGCTCTCACTTAAATCTTAACTGTCCGGATCTAGGTCACATGCAAAGGATTGTGAAGATGTGAATATTTTTAACCAGGCACAACTGTTGCCTTGAACAAAATTGGAATTAAGTTGGCAAAGAAGTTGAGTGACCGGGCAGCAAACAGTCTGCCCCAGCACCACATATTCCTGCTAAATCCAGTGTGTAGGAATTGCCTGGGTGCCTTCTTCATAAGCAGCTTGGTCACGTTTTGTGATGGAGTAGGTTGTTTGATGGGCTGTCCAGGAGAGCAGGTAATGTCATAGATGGGACATGCTTTCCAATTCCTAGGAACTGTGGTCTTTCTTAGCCTTCCATGCTAAAGAATCATTGACTTACAATGTGATAAATGCAAATAACATGAAAAGACCAGCCCACCCAGAGAGCTGTAGCTTCTAGAACCCTGGACCCCAGCCCAACATAAACACCAACAACATCTTCCTGAGCCCTCAATTCTGGACCATTTTCTATTTCAATTCCAGAAGAGGACTGTTTTTTCACTTAGGACTATTTCTTTGTGCTTTGAATCATTTCTCCATCTTCCCATCTTTAGAGAAGGTTTTACTTTACCCTGCCTATTTTCCTCCAACTCTTAGAGGCATATTTCTGATTCTTTTGTTCATGGAGTGGGGAAGTGGCACATGTGACTTGAAAGCCAGTGTCACTATATGTTTTTCAATCATTTGGCAAAGCTTCAAGCTAGTGTACTATGAGTAACTTATATCCTGTCACTCCCTTTGGCCTTCGTCACGGCAGGGAAGAACCAGAGGCAGTCAGAGCTTCCCTATCTCTCCTAAGCATAAGCATGTTAGCTTTTACTTTAGAATGTGAGGCAAATGTTGCAGTTTCTGTGTGTGCTGTGGGGAAAGCCTAGGAGATGCTGCCCCTGTTCTCTTGTTTCTATCTTTTTTCTGTACCAAAGTGGAAACCCTGCCTCTTAACTCAAGCTTTGCCACCTTTGTCCTGGAAGAAATGATGACTTTGTAGAGAGCCTCTTAGCACTGTCTGGCAGAGCCATGCTGCTGCCGGGAACAGCTTCCTGTCCTTGAGGCCTTCGTTCACCCTCTATGAGTTTTGTTGAATTCTCCCAGTTTACCTCTTTCCCTACTTTTGATAAAGATTGCATAGATGAAAGTTTACTTCAGTTCCTTTTTACAAATCATCTCAGCCCTGAAGCTGCAGTAATCCAACCCTTTGGTCTTTACAATATTATCTTTTGGCAACACCCTGGCCAGACCCAAACGTGCCATCATCTTTCCTGTTATACCCCCAGTTTCCCCAAATAGATGCAACTGTAGAAACTCAAAGCCATAGTGTGCTAGGAGGTGGCCATTAGAAACAGTGTTGACTGATGTCTGCCCATCTTTATTATCTTCTTTTTACTTATTTTGGAAGTTGTGTTGACCTTTGAGCTAAGAAAAGGCTAAAAGTGTTTCTTTTTTTTTTTTTTACCAGATGAGAATTCTCCAGCCAACTTCTGGGATTCTAAAAACAGGGGTGTGACTGGAACCCAAAAAGGACAGATTGTATGGAGAATTGAGCCGGGACCCTACTTCATGGAACGTAAGTAATTGATAAGCATGATACAGTCTTAAAAGTACATAATGTACATGTGTGTTGAATGTATAGAATCATATCTGAATGTTAGTTTTAATGTTTTGGGCTCTTATTTATATATGTATGTCATGAAGACCCATATTAGAAAATACATTATTTTTAGAAAGTGTTCATTGGTGATTGCAAACATGGGCAGTTAATATTAACTATTGATTTTAGGAATTAGAAAGGATAGTTCAATGTTTTGATTAACTTAAGGATTCTGTTTGCTCTGGATATTCCTCATTTCTTACTGGCAGAAGGCTATCTTTTGCATGTAGGTCAACAGAATATGGATATGATAGTCTGGGGCATACTGCCACCAATGTCAAATACTAACAAGCAGAAATTGTATGCAGGGAGTCAGCCATTATCCAATACACCCATGTTGTATTTGTAAATACAGATACTTGTATAGTACATAGTTCATTAGAGGTACCACATATACTTATTTTGAGTAAAGTATGACAGGAAGTGTATGTATATATTTACCGCTGATATTCCTGAATATACAGGAATTCTTGGAGTATTTTTATGGGATGGAAAGAAAATAGCTAAATAAAATAGGATTGGTGACTTGCTAGTTTACTAGTCAGTCCAGATCAATTTGAATATCTTCAGAAGTTTTCTTTCTTTAATATATGGGAAAACATGAGCTTTTGAGACGTTTTCAGTAACACTGAGCTCTAAAAATTAAAATTTTAGTGTGCAAAGGATTTATTGTAAGAGACTCTATGAATACTAGAGATAAAAGGACTTACCAAGACAAAATATAAAGTGCAATTGGAACAAATGGTACAAACATCTTTAGTGAAGCTTCCAAAGCATCTGTAACATAAAGCTATTTTAGAAGATCAGCATCTCTGACCTTAGTCAACATTAAAGGCATTGGGTAGTTTCTTCCTCTGTCCTTCCTGGTGGGTCAGTGCTCAGTAGTCTCCCCTAGTCCTACTTCTGCCCTGTAAGGTGTGTCTTGTTACACAGTCTGATGTCTGTTTAAGCCTTGTGAACATGAGAAACACTGTTAGTATCCAGCATCTGTACTAGCCTGTCCTTGGGGTTCTGACAGGATATGCCCTCAGCTGCAGCCACCAAGAGCATCACCTGTACATATTCACTATGTTCCCTTTTAAAAGGGCCCTGCCCATTCCCATCCTTCCCTCTCATTCTTTCCAACCCTCTTTCTGTATGGCTCTCCCTCTCCAGCTCTCTCTCCCCCTCTTTCCTATCTCCTTTCGCTCTTGTCTCCTGAGGCCAGTCTCCCCCTCCCCTTTTCCCTTTTTATGATCCCTTTCCCTAATAAAAAACCTTCTGCTTGAACCCTGTCTCATGGCATCTTTCTCTTGCACTGCTTTTCTTTAATTACAACAAACACATCTGTGACTTCAAAAGGGTAAAAGAGAGTATTCTGGAGACAAATATGGTGAACCATGGCCATGGCACCCAGATTCAGGTTGGCTCAAATTCCATGTCCCAACCTGGTAACTGTAAAATCTATCATAATAGAACAAAGACAATCATACACCAAGACACTCCTCTCTCTCTCTCTCTCTCTCTCTCTCTCTCTCTCTCTCTCTCTCTCTCTCTATTTCTCTCTTTCTTCCTCCTTTTTATCTTTTTCCTTAGATTTTCCTTCACATAGTATACTCTAATTATAGTGTTCCCTCTTTCTACTCTTTCTCGTGCCCCTCCCCACCTCCCCTTCCATCCATATCCACCCCCTTTCTGTCGCTCATTAGAAAATAAACAAGGTTCTAAGCGATAATAATAAAACATATAATTTATATAATATAGTATGATGAAAGAAAAACTAACACTTAAGAATGGACAAAACAAACAGAAGGAAAAGAGCCCAAGAAAATGCATAAGAAACAGACATAGACACACTCATTCACACACTCAGGAATCCCATAAAAACACTAAACTGGAACTATAACACATGCAAAGGACCTGTAGGGTAAAAAGGAAGAAACATGGGACATCTATGGGCTTGGGATAGTAATCTAAGGTCATTATCAGGAAAGTAGATAATGTAAAAACATAGAGGGAAATGCAATGAAAGATCCGGTTTTACTTCTAATTCAATTATTTCTTTAAAAGGATACTAAGGTTTAAGAAATTGATTAGGTGAATAATATTGCCACCTAAATGCCACAGAAAAGGTAAATCACTTTCCTATTAGCACCTGAATGCTGAAGAGCACTCTTGGTGCTTGCCTGGAGACCAGGGGTACCATCTCTATTACAAGGTGATCTGGGATGAGGAAAACCAAAAACATGTCCAAAGCACCACCTTCTCTGTTAGAGGTTCATACTGTCCTGGCTGTTGAGGCTATCCTAAATAGTAAATATAGCAATTACAATATGCCACATGGTAAATATTTGTCTTGGAAAATGTTGTATGCAGACCTCATTCTGCTGTTTAATAGAAATGGGCTTGGATATTGAAGCTGAATTAAAGAAGGCACAGAAGAGTAGGTTCCCCCTTTCTTCATTTCTTTTTCATACATAAACCTGGGAGCACTGCAAGCAGGATTGTAGAGTTGAAACTCTTCAGTGTGTTGAAGTGCTGAGAAAATAGTCCAAGTTAAAGTCTAGACAGTGCATTGTGATTCCAGAAGAGTAAGAAGGATGCATCCGATCTATGGAGTGTGAAACATCAAATAAATGGAGTGTTTATCTCTAAGCTTAGAAGTCGAGAGGTCCTTTTAATGTCATCTTGAACCAGTGTCTGACTCGGACAGTCTTAAGAGAGCTTTGCAGTATAATTCAATTTTACACAGATCTTTGCAGCTAATGACACAGAGTCTAAGAAAAGGTGGGTATAAACTATTTAGATAGCTTCTGAAAATTCTGGATATTTTCAACCCATGACCTAGAAAATATGATATTCAAAATTTTTCTTTCATCTTAAGAAAGAAATGTGGGTTTTTTTTATCCTTAGCTTATTAGAAGTCCAAGCAAGGTAATAGTCTTTGAAAATTGATCAGTTTAAGGCAGAAGCCAAGATGCCCCAGGTTGTTCAGTAAACCCCCAAAGATGCAGACATCCCACGTTTATACTATTACAACCTACTTGAATGACTCTGAAGGGAGAAGAAAATGAATTTAATTTTAGTAGATGACCTCAGGTATCAGCATCCTGAATATTTACTTGTTTTAGGACAGTAATCAGGGGCTGGGGTACACAGTTCAGTATTAAAGCGCTTGCTATGCAAGCAAGAGTAGCCAAGCATGAACCCTGTGATCTACATAAAATATCAGTCTCTGCAGTGCTTGTCTGTAACCCAGGACTGGGTAGTGGGAGGGATGTCAGACACAGGGGCAACCCTAGAGCTCACTGGCTCACAGTGAAGCCTAACCAGTGAGCTCCAGGTTCAGTTAGGGACTCTATCTCAAAAGATGAGGTAGGCATTGGACCTCCGGCTTTAATACTCGTGTACAAACCCATAAGTATATACATATACTACACCTACACACACAAAAAGGAAGCCAAAAGCGAGGGTGCTGTAAAGCCTGTCAGCTACCCTTCGAGTGAACATATTTGCCTCCAGTGAGTTGCTTCCAGCAACTGAGTGGGTCGTCTGCAGTATATATTATTCAGTTTTAAAGTTCATGGAGTTTCAACAGTTGTCCTGGCATGCCAAGATGTTTATTTGATTCAATATAGCCTTTTGTAAACATAGTTCTTCTTTCAGTCATTCATACTTAGGTGGGTGTTTTCAACTATTTTTTCCTTCCTTCTATACATCTATTAATTTCCCCCATCATTGTGAAATATTTGTTGGAGACACTATTTTTAGCTACTCAATAATCTTGGATCAATGAGTCAACTTAGCAATTTTGCACTTCAATTGTGTATTACTGTATATTGAATTGCTTTGTGATTGTTAAGGCAAAAAAAGCAAACAAAACACCAGTGTTTGCATCCATTTTGTAGTGTTTTTAGACTTTTATCTGTCTCAGCTCTTAAAAGCAACATAAGCAATGTGAGTAGTATGCACGACAGTCCCACCACTCCTCAGTGGTGGGACCTAACTCAGTGCCTTGGTAAATATGCACATTATAGGATGGTTTCTCTTGGGAGAGATGGGTAGTTTTAGACTCCTTTTTTCACTGCCAGGCCTCCTGCCCTAATGCCATCGTTCTCACTGACACACAAGCATGTTCTTACTGCTTGGAGACTTGGTACTTTCCACAGTCATTCCTCTTACACCATGTTTTAGGTTCAGTCAACTCCCATCCCATAAGACTTCTGCCATACCTATAATGATATTGTCCACCAAGGAAGACTTTCCACCTTCACAGTCCCTTAACAAATATAAGACAATTTGCAGTAATGTGGAAATGGCAGATGATTATGCTACTGGGCTTGTGGGTAAATGTCTCCAGAAGTGTAAAGATTAAAGTAAGCTCCTCCTCAGTTTGTATCTTCTGAATGTAAGGGCAAGAATTCCATGACAGCATACAGGACAATAGTGAAAATTACGAAGTACAATAACATTTTCTCTTACAGTTAGAGATGGCATTCAAGCAACAGCCTTCCGTTTATATTTCATTCATTTGAATGAAATAGAAATGAAGAAAGGAAGAAAGATGTTCACATTTCACTAATCACTATAGCTAAGTTTTATATTCAACGTCCAGAACTGTGGGTTAATTCAGACTTTCTAAATGACAACAATCTGTGAAGTATTCCCTAAGCTAACATTGCCACTGTATAAGGTGATAAATGAAAGCAAAATCTTGCTTGTGGGGGTAAACTATAGACTCTTTTTCTCAGTGTCATCTCACATTCCTAGGGTTGATGTGGCTGAGCTGATTGCCTTTAGAAGATAATTTTTAAAAGCTAATTTGTGAAAAGGGTGTGATTTTTAAAATCTGTAAAAAGTAGAAGTAACAGTCTCTGACATCATACCAATAACCAGTCTCTTCACCTTGAAGGCAATTAGTGACTAATTTCACATTA